CCTCTTAGTCATATACCCAAATGATCCACATCCATGCATGAAAGACATTTGCTTAACTATGTTCATAGCAGCACTATTTGTAATATCAAGAATCTGGAAGCAACCTAGATGCCTCTCAATTGAAGAATGGATAATGAAGATGTGGCACATCTATACAATGGAATACTACTCTGCAGAAAAAAAGTAATGGCATCTTGAAATTCGCAGGCAAGTGGTTGGCACTTGAAGAAACCATCCTGAATGAAGTAACCCAGGCACAAAAAGAGGAACATAGTATGTACTCACTCATATATGGATTTCAGACCTAGAGCAAAGGATCACCAACCTGTAATTCACACCACCAGAGGAACTAGGATACAAGGTGTATTCTAAGAGATTCTTATAAAGTTCCTCACATAACCGGGAAGGAATAAGTCCCCTGGACACAGGGGAAGTTGGGGGGCAGCGAATGGAGAGAGAAGTAGGAGAAAACGAGGGGGAGGAAAGGAAAACATGTGCAACCAGGAAGATTGAGCCCGGTTAGGAATAGAAGACAGGAGAGAGAGCGTGTGCTCGCATATGTGCACGCGCGCACACGACAGAGAGAGACAGAGAGAGAGAGAGAGAGAGAGAGAGAGAGAGAGAATGAGAGAGAGAGAAAATAAAAGAGGGAGCCAATATTGGTTTGAAGATAAAATTGAACACAAAGAAAGGTCTAGAGAACTACAAGACTGCTGCCAACTAACAATTTGAGCTTCTGAGGAAAGACTACCATAAATGCCCTTCCCAGATGATGAGATCAAGGACTAACTTATCCATGCAGCCTTCAACAAATGTCTGTTGGAAACAGGAGCAAACACCCATACATAAACACTGAGTCGAATTAGAACCCAGATGCAGATGGAGAGGAGAAGATCAGGCAGCAGAAATACATAGAGACAAGGAGGACCTAATGGGACACCAGACTGATAGCTGGGAAGCCAGCATGGAACTGAATCAGGCCGCCTGAATATGGGTCTCAGCCAGAATGACTGAGCAGTCTAAGGGACCTCAGACAGTGGAGCCAGGATGTATCCCTGGTGCACAAAAGGACTTTGCGAACACATCCCCCATAGAGGGATAACTGCCTTAACCTGGAGACAGGATTGAAGCCCTAGTCCCTACTTCACATGACCTGTCAGATCTACATGACCCCACCTGGATGGCATTCCCCTACATATGGAAGTGGGGTGGGGGATGGGAGGGGAGGGTGGTTAGATTGCATGTGAGAACGCAGAGAGGGTAAAAGTGAGGGAAGGAGGGAGGGAGGGAGAGAGAGAGGGAGAGGGAACTGGGATCGACATGTAAAATAATAAATTAAAAAAATGCTTTGAATGTAGGATCAGCTTGTACTCTGTTTCAGGCGGTCTGGCATGATCAAACCACATTAGTCTGGAAGGAATCCACATCTTTTCATTTTCTGTGGAAACAAAAATAGAAATCCTTTTCCCCAGTAACTTGTCCTTCAACTTAAATTTTGGAGTCAGAGCATTTTTTTTTTTAATATGTTCCCAAAGTCTGAGGTCTCTTAGAATGCTCAGTCCTTCTGTCTGAGACCCATATTCAGGGGGGCCTGAGTCAGTCCCATGCTGGCTTCCCAGCTATCAGTCTAGTGGCCCTTAGCTCCTCCTTGTTCAGGTAAGCTGTCTCTATGTGCTTCTGCCGCATGGTCTTGTCCTCTCCATCTGCTTCTGGGTTCTAGTTCGACTCAGTGTTTATGTATGGGTGTTTGCTCCTGTTTCCAACAGGCATTAGTTGAGGGCTCCATGGAGAAGTTAGTTGTTGATCTCACTCTCCGGGAAGGGCATTTATGATAGCCTTTCCACGGAAGTTTGATTGTTAGTTGGGAGCAGTCTTGTAGTTCTCTCGACCTTTCAAAACAGCTGGAGAAAACAGCCCTACAGACTACAGCCAGGATATCGGAATCTTGTTCGAATCCCCCAAGAGAGCACCCCTTACCATCAGGAAGTAGTTTGGAAAGAACGACGCCCAAATTCCCAAATATTGTGTATAAATGTTTGTTTTCATTTAATTGGACTTTGTTATATAAAATTAAATAAAAAAAAGAAAAAAAATGCTTTGGCTCCAAAATTTAAGTTCAAGTCAAGTTCCTGGGGAAAAGAATTTCTATTTTTGTTTCCATAGAAAATGAAAAGCTGTGGACTCCTTCCAGACTAATGTGGTTTGATCAAGCCAGACCTCCTGAAACAGAGTACTAGGTGATCCTACATTCAAAGCAGCTGGACAAAGCAGCCTTACAGACTACAGCCAGGATTTCTGCATCTTCTTAGAATTCCCCCATGACAGCCCCCTTTACCAGCAGGAAGTTGTTCCGAAAGAACGAGGCCCCAATTCCAAAATATTGTCTATAAATGATTGTTTTCATTTAAATGGACTTGGTTATATAAAATAAATAAATAAATAAAAATAACAGAAAATAAAACAATATGAAGAAAATGCTCTCCATCTTTATTTTTTTACACTTGGATAGATATTTAAAAATATATTAATCTATTTTTAATTTTTATTTGATTAAAAACAACCTTATTTTATGTATGTATCCCTGTTCCCTCTCCCTTCTGTCCTTCTATTACCCCCACCAACCCCCATCCCACCCTTATCCACTCCTCAGGGACATTGAGGCCTCCCTTCTGTTGGGGATCATCAAGTTCTATGACACCAATTGGGCTAGGACCTAGTCCCTCCTCCAGGTATCTAGGCTGAGAGAGTATCCCTTTAGATGGTTTTTTAATTGAATAAAATCATTTAAATATTCTGCACAAATCATATGTAACTATTAAAGTCTTTTGTTTTCCCTTTATTGTCCTTATTTATTAGATTTTAAATTTATCAATTAGTAACAAAATTCAGTGTTTATATTTGCCAGCCACATAATTCAAGATCTTGTTTGATATAATAGGTGTTGATGGAATACAAGAGAGCAGGAAGGAAGCGAATACATGGATGCCCAATGGGATCTGAGAGAAAAGTTATGCTCTCTTTGGTACCTAAGTCATTTGAAATAAATTCATCCCATCATGTTGTAGAAAATGCAGTATTTTCTAATAGTTGGTGTCACAGAAGATAAAAGATGATAGATTTCAAGGTTTTGGAAAGTCTCTCATGAATTCAGGGCTAAACCATATTAGTAGTAGTGATGGGTATACTGAGTGGTTGAAATAAGGACAAAGCACCTCACCCTGATATTTGTGGAGTTGATATGCACAAACACTCCACTATTGGATACCCTAATGATACAGAAATACTTTGAGAGACTGTCCATGTAGCTAAATATCCCTGTATTCGATAAAATTGAGACCTTCTGGGGTCATTGATGCAGTTAAAGTCTAAAAAGTTAAACATTGTTTTCTTTACTTTTTTTTTTACAAAAGGTAAATAATGTATAAAACTAACTTACAAAAATTTTATATATATTAGAGCATTTTCTCTATTTTGTCAAATACAAATAGACTGCATATTGTAATTCTAACTTAATAACTATTTTGTTATATATAATTTTACTATGTAAAAAATAAAAACTTCAAAACTATATTCACATATTTTCTTGCAGACAAGTGTATCCCTTCTTTTATCTCCTCCCATAGCCTACCCCCACCTTATCTCTGCCCACCCCTGAAATCTACCTCTCTTGTTCTTCTGTTCAGAAAGTAGAATGCTTCTCATTGGTATCAAAGAATCATGGCATATCAAGATCAGGAAGGACTAGTCTTCTCCCCATAATACACAGATAAGGCATGCAGTAAAGGAGATAGAAGGAAGGGCTTCCTTCAACCCATATCATACAATTTATAGGATAATATTTCTATTGCATTCAATTGAACTGAACAATACTGCAAACTTGACAGTAATAATTTTGTTCTAACAATGGGTCTTTCCATCCCTCAAATTTTAATATTTGATGTCATCTAAACCATTGTGCAAAATATTCATATTATTATTTTTCCCTATTCATTTTATAATTATTATTTGTTATAAGATATTTTATAATCAATATTTTCACATACATATAAGCAGGCACTTAATTTTTAGAAATACTGGTACATTATTTTTTTCTACTAAAGTTAATGTATTTAACCCATAATTTCTCATTTATTTTCAATTTGGTATTACAAAAAAATATTTTTCCCGTTATTCACTGGTGCTCTACAAATTATGTTTAACTTTTCAATGGAATTATTTGTGTCTAAACTCTACATGCATCTCTACATTAACCATGTTCAAAATATTTGGAACAATTTACTTTTTGGTGTACAGATTAAATAAAATAACAAGTTTAAATTTTAGGTTTGTATCATCACTCTAAAAGCAATTGATTCCATCTTTCAGTTAACCTGTTATGATACTAAATGTTCAATGGGACCCTTGTCACTAAGTAGATATCCCTGTCTATTTATTCTGAATTGTTTGCATTCATACTTGTTTTCATAATAAAAATATTAAATAAATGTCTCAATTTGGACTTCTATATTCTTTCTGGCTTCCCAACTCACCTGTGGACATGTGTACAAATGGAAAGAAAACTTACCAAGTGACAACATGATCTACCAAAGGACCCATGAGAAAATACATGGCTCTTAAGCAGGATGCTTCATCAATAAGCATATACAAGTTATAACACATCTCACTGGGGATATGTAGAGATATACAGTTCCATGTTTTAGAGAAGATAAAATATAGATATATTATGAAGGGCTGAATTTCAGACTAAAGATAAATGCTAATGTGATTTAGTACACTAAAGCAGTTTCCACAAGAAAATCGCATGCGAACAGTTTCTAGAATAATGATTCAAAGATGTGATTCCAGACACAGATTGTGATGCTTTAAAGAGTAGAATTGTTATTCATTTGAGTTTGTAATGAGGTTTATCTTTTCAATTCCTTGAAGATGTTATGGTGAATCATGTGCAAATGGCAGAAATTGACTAATATAATGAATCTTTTCTTATGTTATATATTTACCTGTTATATTGGAAATTTCATTTTCTGGGCAAGGGGTACAATCAAAACAGCAAACTGCCTTTCCCTGTTGAGGAGATTTTCTGAATCCTGGACTACAAGGCACACTGCATATTGAGGGTGAAATCTGAGGAAAATAAGAATATAAAGAAAAAGTTTTCTCTATTTGGAAATAGTGATGGGCACTTAGACGATAGTACTACTGAAAAACATCCTTTTTTAATTTAGTTTAAATTAATTTAAATTTAATTTAACTTAATTTAAAAGTAATGTTTGTTTTATTTTATATTGTGGTTTATATATTATAGGTGTATTGTGATTTACATAATGAAAAACTTGTATTGTGGGTTTATAATTAATCTATACTTATCTATCAGAATCATAGAACATAGAGGTATAAACATGTAGATATGATGTTGGAAGACATTGCTGGTTGCTAAATGTCACAGCCTCCCCATGGCCTGGTGGCTTATCTCAATACCTAAATACCATGTGGCTCCCTTGTAGCAGCTGAACTTCCTTTCTCTCCATGCCCTTTTCTGGAGGATGGCTCTCGGCCTATAGGATTAATCTTTTCTGAAAGGTGTTTCTATAGCAGATTTCCTATCATAAACCTATCAGAAATATGTGCCAAAGTGCATTCCAAAGATGAATAAGGCATCTGCTATAGAACACTACTACCACATGTTAAGCCTTGAGATAGGAATATTCCACATCAGGCAAATTAAGGTTTATCCCCATGTTACCCAAACTTATATATTCCTTATATTCTGGAATAAAGTTATCCACAGTGTATAAATTATCAAACTACTTAACTAAAATATCACAAAAGAAAATCTAGTAATGTGAGAAGTTTGTGAATACACTTGAAAATATTCTATCTCATGAAGATGTTAAAGCCAATATTGATAATTTGGGTTCTTAGGCTAAGTGTAGAATTGTAGAAGTAAGGAAACAAACCTGTCTAAGGTGTATGTACCACTTTATCATCTCTTCAGACATATGCAATGGTTGACTGTGTGGTAAATATTTGGAAAATTCTCCTATTTTGACCTTAAGTCCATGATTTGGCAAAAAATCCATAGTGTAGTGAATGTCATACATTATATCCTGGTTTTCTTTCTGATTTGTGTTCACTTGGTTTTTAACAGGGTTCTTAAATTGTAGGTTCTTCAGGTAATGGACCATCTGAAACATTTATTATTTTAATTTTTAAGTATTCCTACACATTTTAACAAATACTTTGAAGAATAGATTGCCTGTATTTATTTTAATCTATCTAGAAATGTGACTTAATACCAAATCTTATATGGTAAATGGAAAGACAATCCACATAGCTATAACAATAACATTATGTTTTGGAAATACCATCTTCTCTGAGGTTAATTATTTAATTCTTGCACACCTGAATGATATTCCCAGATAGAAGAGATGTTACCCAGACTGTTTCCTCTAAATGTTCCATGATAATCTGTTAAGTAATTGAGATTCTCAGTATGATAAAAAATGAGAATTACTTGCTCTTATGTATGATATATTCCCTTACCAACTTTTTGATCACTTACAAGGTCATTAAGCTACTTGACAGTTTTAAAATTTTCTGTATGTGGAAGAAATGTTATGGGAAATACTATTGGCACAGATCATGATAATATGTCTGCTAGCCTTGGCTAGAGTAGAGTCTTTAATCAATAAGAGTTACATGATTTTCAACCAATCTGTATATAAATTCTGTGTATGCTAGAAAGTATCCTGGAATTCTTAGAAAGAAACTACATTATCTATTATGAAAATTTTATTTATATCATAACATTTATTAGAATACTTATTACCTGCCAAGAGTCAAATTCCACTCTTTTCCCAGAATACTTTGGCCATGTATCTAATTCTTGTAGCAGCATCTCATGAAGTGCATGAGCCACAGCATGCACAGTATTGTACAGCACATAACCTGTACTACCCACAGACATTTCAAAGTCTTTCATAAGTAACCAATTATATAGTTTTTCTTTTGAGTAACTCTTAAGATTCCTAAAATTCAATGAATTTGGAGAACAATTAAAATATATCCACCATAATTTATGAAGAGAAAATGGATTAAGATACTTGGAAGGATTTGTTGTCTTGATAAATTTTTTAAAACCAGGTAATTCAGAATAGTGAAGCAAAAAAGTAAAGGTCCCATAGAAGGAACTAAGAAGGAATCTCTCATTATGTGTGATCATATCCCACTGTGAGGTAGTGACCCATATCCTGTGAACATTTACTACTCTGTAAAATCTAAGGTTGAGCTGCAGATGAGAGTCTTTGTCACCATATATTATAACAACTTTGGCTGATGATGTTGTGATCTCATTATAATAGCTATTTACATTTTTCTGGAATAACATTTTATCTTCCACAATAACATGTACAAAGGCCAAGCATACAGTATTTCTGTGCATCTCTCTCCTCAATTCCAAAAGAAATTGTAGTCCTAGGTCATCATCTGAGATGATTGCTCCAACCCAGTTCCATCTGAAATATACCACCAAAGACACCATTGCCACGGCTAGAGATGTGTCCTTAGGAGCCATCTGGTAGAGATGTGGAAAGTGTTCATGGCTGTCCAGAAGAGGATGAAATGGCCCATAGTAAATCTGAATGCCATAGAACATGAAAAATAACTTGAAGAAAGTGGAATAAAATAATAATTGTTCTAAAATAATTGTGCTAATCAAAAGATGAGAATATAAGGGCATGCACATTTTCATCTCATCATTTAATCATATGTGTTATCTTTTGAATATCTTAAAAGTGTAAATGCACTAAGTCTGCTTCTATAACACTTCAAATTTCTTATTTTCATTTGTGTCTATTTATGCTAAAGTGCTGTGTTGTATTACAATACATTTTGACTATATATGACTATATATGCTGTGCATCAAAATACATGTATTTACAATAATTTTTTTCATTTGGTGGTCATGGTATCTGAAAATCAGAATGAAGGAAGCCAATATTTCTGTAAAACCCACTCACTCATTCTTACCTCTGGTCTATTAGTGATGTACAGGAGTGGTCCAAGCATAGCAGATGATATCCATGTTGGACCTGTAAGTACGATTAAATACCTTCTCTGATTTATACAGGCATAGTTAGGAAGAAATTCACCTATTCTTGAGAATAACCTATTCATTCTCCAATCATCTAGCAAATTACATTCAATTTTAACTAGCAGAGAAATATTTGGTAAAATAAGATGGTCCGTGTTGATATTTTCAAGAGCAAAATAAAGACATAAAATTAAGTGGATACTCTTAGTAGTCAACCTGAAATGAGAACAAAAATCATAGGGATTGCAGTCAAAAAATGATAATATTAAATATCAGTAATAGTGTTCATGTATTTAATGTCTGTTTTTCCCATTGCTATGGTGACACAAGCCTTATTACAGTGCTCAATGAGAATATGAGATCTCTGAAATTAAGCATCGATTCTTAAGAGGTTTTGTGGTAGAACTCATGTGGGATGCTTTGATTTTGAGCTTTAATAGCTTTATTCCTTTCTCTGTGAGCATGTTGATACAAAGGGCTAGAGGACATTGAAGTTATTCTTTCCTTTACTGTAGAATTCTAATAGATAACATACATGGAAAATAGGTGGATATAATCTCCTACACAGATTTTGACATATTTCTATAAAGAAGTTGCTGTTGACAAGGCTGTGACTTAATTATGAATGTAAGGAATGGGTAATCATATATATCCATTTGTATCACCATCTCCGTGAATCTTTAAATCATAAATGCAGATAGCTTAATTACTTTTACTTTTTTTCTGTACATCATTCACCTTTGTCCTTTTCCATCCCATTTGATGCTGTATAATGTTCAAAGATATGTCATTGGTTATAACAATGACTATTTTATTATGAGGAATTATCAATATTAAAATGGGCTCTCAGGTTGATGATGACCTGTTTCATTTTTCTTTATTCATCTAAACATGCTAGTCTTGTCTCTGGATTCTGGTTGCTTTGTCTTAATTACAAAATATTTTCCTTTTCTAATATCTTAACTTTTAATATTTGTTTGTATCTTCTAATATACTTTTATTATTCATTTTAAAGTCATAGCTAACTTTTGTTAGTAATATGTATTATTTTTCTGTTTTCCTTATGAGTGCTTCAGCTTTTATTTTTTCTCATGTGTATTTTATTGTTTTATGACAGTGTTCCAAATCTGAGTGCTCTAGCCTATTATGTTATTCTATAACTAGTATTTAATTGAATTAATAGTGTATTTGCACTATAATTTGTAGTTATGCTGCTTGAATAATTTTACTTTGAAATTCACTGCCTTTTTTTATTGTTTTAAATTTTATGTCTGATTTAGAAATAACCAAGGTTCATTGTTTACTTAGTAACCTGTAATTTTTGGGTGTTTTTTTATCACATGTGATAATTCCAGTTTTATATTTGAAATCTCTAGTAAAGCAATGAAATTGCTATTTCATGACATTGATATATAAAATTATCAAGTCCTTGTTTACCAAATAAATGTTTGAAATTTATAATATTTTTCTTGTGTATTCAAGTCTTCAATTTCCATGAATTATTATTATTCTTTCATTTTGGAATCAGAGGTTTCTTTATGACATTATATGGTAATTAATAGTTTAAGTACTTAAAATTAATATTCTACATGAAATCATTAATATTTTTATGTCTTCTAGTCTTAATGATGGCCCATTTCTCATCATTACTGATTTTTAATTTAATTCTGTCAATATTCTTGAATATTACTGGAGATCATTTCCTCTTCATTTCACCATACTGTCTTCTCCTCAGAAGCATGAACGTGATAATGTGTTGCTAAACTTGAACACTTTGATTATTTTCAAGATCAAATTTAGGTTGCTGCCATTTTCTCTTATCGTAAAGAAAAATCCTTTAGTGTCAAGATTTCTATTGGTTGTAACTAAGAAGATAAGCCTCATTTGTTATTTTGTTCCAATATTCTTTGTTTTTTTGCAGGTTTTTCTTGCTTTATGCTATGTCATGAAGTTGCTCTTCTAGAGTAAAATCTTTATCTATATATAATAGCAATAATCTAGATACTAGTCTCATTCATCATAGAAAAATAGCAAAGTATGAATAAATATTGACCATTAATAAATACTTGAAAGGGAAGGCTCAATTTTCTTTAAGGATATGATACAAGGTTGGTCATTCATTGCTTAATGAAAGAACACAAGTCCAAAATATAGTCAGAAGTACAAATTATACTTGATGGGCTATAAACAGTTTGGTGAAGAAGGGGAGCAAATGTCATCAAAATACATTATACCAAACCTTTAAACAACCAATAAAAATGGTATCTAAAGCAATTAACTTCACAAAATGCAAGCTTTGTGTCAGCTCACAATTTTTGAGGTTTAACTTAATGTGAATGAATTTTGATTGATATCCCTGGCATCGCTTAATATCTAGGTTGGAGAGAGTGAAGACCAAAATCATTGTATCATGCCAGGGATAAACAAGAAGAAATGATAAAAAAGATGGTGTTCTACAGTTCCAATATAGTAACTTATCCTCATATCAAATAAACCATGCCTAACTGAAGCTTGGTCCATCAATTTGCAAGAATTTTAGTGATCTCAATTCCAATAAAATTCTCAATATACAAAGAAATAAATTATATACAACTTGGTACTCTTTATGTCATCAATCAATTAAATCACAAGTTCTAGTGAACAACTGAATCCACAAAGAATGTCATTTAAGTATGTCATCAAAGGAGTTGGCACATGCAAAACATGACATAATATATTATTCACCAAAAAAAGTGCTTATTGTACTCAGAAGTTCCCTGGGCAGAAACTGGTCAACCACTAACCCATTTGTGAAAACTTTGGATCCATAATATTGGTGTGGTATATTGAAGGGATTCTTCAAATCAAGTTTAAAATGAATTAATATCAAACATTTGATTTTATTATTTGTCACAATATTTTACAAGCCCCAATTAATACAAACATTGAATAAGTTTGTCATATATTGACATATGCTACAGTCAAACATGTCTATTACATTCAACAGTCATAGGAACATTTATTCAGGTACCCAATACAAATCAAATTCAAGTGACATGTACCCAATTTGTAGGCAGTCTTTGAACATGAAAGATTTAAAGTAAAACAGGATATATAGATATATATATCTATATATCTATATATTAAAAGTTTGAAGTTGTTTATCAACAACAAAGGGTGAAAATGTTTTAAATTAAGTGTGTAGGCTATAGAGTTCTCTGTAATAATATAAAACATCATAAAATATTACTAGTAAGTATTTAGGGAGAATGCCAATTCATAATACACAAATATTTTTAAACAGAGTTATACTTGAAATGTATTAATAATACACACACACACACACATATATATATGTATATATATATATATATACATATATATATATATTACTTGTGTTTTAGAAAGGCATAATTTGTTACCTTCACTATAAAATTAGATCTTAATTAAACTTGACAAAAGAACATAAAGGTATTTTGCCCAAATATTTTATTTTTATAGCATCATTTTCTTTATCATCTATAATATTATTTTCTTTTACATGACAGAACCATCCCAATATTAGCAAGAAAATGACAATGTAGTCTAAGTATTCATATGTGTTGGCACAACATATGAATACAGATAGCACACATTTAGACACACTCTTCTATGATATTTTATGTAATAAATAGATATTTCAAAGGCTACTAGATTTAGTCCCATTTTGAATGAATGTTTATTTAGATGTATAAAATTAAAGAGTTGATCAATACCATTTAGCAAATTTTGTTGCTAAATAATTTCTTTGCTTAATAAATGTTTCATCGGTCTTACCTAGAAAGATTACATCACAGTGGAGTGTTTAGCCATAATATGGTGAGATTTAAGAACCAATAAAAAGAGAAATTGCAGGTTTTCTTCTCCATTTCTAAGAAGAACATTTCTTTTTAACTCTAAGAACTCTATTCACTGGAAGAGATGTATCAAAACTTTGCCTAACTTGAGTGACGATTTTTCACTTAAGTTCTAATGAACCTCCCCTCAGATATTTTTATATTTGTTTGATAGTTTAGAATCCGAAGTCATCAGTCTTATGTTCCATTTCATTATGAAAATTGCTCTGTCAGTGTAAAAATGCATGCTGTCACTTAGTATTAATCCTTATTGTCCTTTATCCCTATGGTTACATTTTACATCCCAGCCAGTTACATTGCGTGTTCTCATTATTTCCTTAATTTTCTTGACAATTTCACAGTTCCATGCCATGATTCCAAACATCCTTCTCTGGTATGAAATTCATTTATCCATATGTTATTAATAAATGAATATAACGTTTGTCTCAAATCATTAAACATCACTGTCATGTTCCTCACAGAGAATACATTGCCCATCATGTACAATGTTCATTACCAAATACTTATACTGTTACTTGTGATAATTTTCTTAGTATGGTATAGCAGACAATGCTATCATTATACAATCCGGATAACATTAATAAAGTTATATTATGGTCAAGTATACAAATCTACAATATATTCTACATATACCTACGCTATGTAAACACACTCTTGATAATTGGGACAAAGGCAAAGATGAGCACATATGGAATTAATGCCAGATATTAAAGTAATGGAACATAGAATTAAAACATGAAATCAATAGTAAGTAAAGTGATTATACTTATGACTTTAATATAATTCTTTAAAATTGTGGCATGTGCTTCATACAACAACATTGTAACACTTGACAAGGGAAATATAATCAATATTTACAATGACATACTGTAGTTGGGTTTTTCTTTGGTTTCCAGCTCAAAAAAAATTACAAGGAGACATATTGCTTATGAAAGCTCATCCTTGGCTTAGGCTTGTTTTTAACTAGTACCTATAACTTAAATTAACCCCTTTCTATTAATACAGTTTTTGCCTTGTGGCTGTATTACCACATTTCTGTACTACCAATCATGCTTGCCTTTCATCTCCTGGCATATCTGCCTTCTTCCCAGCATCCCATCTGTCATCACAGTTCTGCCTAACTATTAGCCATTCTGCTTTTTTATTCATGACAAATCTTTACAATGTATCCTCTTTAACAAATACTCCCACAATTTAAAGATGGATGTTATACATGAATAACATAATGTAAAAAAACAATCCTTACTGTCATTGCCATCAAAAAGGAATCTGACTGCAGATATGCTCAATAGAAACAAACATAAATAGAAAGCATAAAATTAACACAGTAAAGGATTTTTATGTTTCTCGACTTGGTTTCAGTTACAGGAATAATTCAGCCCAACAGGCTTGAAATAATGATGTAAACAACATTTTAATAAAAATGAAGTATTGTGTTAAGAATGTACCAATGATGCAGAGAACAAATGTCAAAGGCCTCTCTTCACAGTAATTGGGCATTCCTTCATGATGGAAGAACAAGCATGACTCTGATAGAGGAATTTACTCAACCTCAAATAAATGGACTCATCTCAGTTTTTTGGGATATGGCTCTCAGGAATATCACTTGGCAACATGCAATGTGGGAATTGCCACTATTAAAAATTGTTTTGAAAAAAATATAGATAAGGTGTATCACTTAGCTTCTAGCCTGAAATATATGACTGTAAAACTATGAGCCCGATAATTATTGAAACACCTGAAGCAGAAAAATAGCCAGCAAATAAACAATAAATTTGGCTATGTTCTAGATAGTAAGGTAGGGAAAAACAGATAGAAGAGAAGGAGAATGACAGAAAGGTGGGAAAAACGAGAAGAAAAGGGGAATGGTGTTTTGCCTACACATGTGCCTCCCTTGTATTTTCAATGATGATCAACCAAAAGCAAATAAATGAAGGACACTTACTTCTTATCTAGATTACTGCTGAAATATTCATTCTTAATGTGGCCATGCTTTGTATAAATAGAAAACAAACAATCAATATCTTTATCTTGACTCCAAGTTTCTGGATCATTTTGTCTCATAAAGCACCTTGTATCTATCAAACTCCAAAATAGAAAGGAAATCCTCAGGACCAAGAAGAAAAATGTCAAATAGTACATCGTCATAATGTCACCAAGATGGGAACCAAGGTAAGTGTACACTAATCAGATTTTCACAGAAAACCCAATTTCAAATATTCTTGTACACATACATGTGTCTCTTTTATTGCTCTAGATTTTAAAAGGTTATTTATGTTTCCCAATATATTTCTTCTCAGCTTATGGCTCTCTGGAGAACTCGGAATAATTCTCAGACATTAGGGTGTACATCTGAGTTATTATGCTCAGGTGCAAGAAAATTTCATTATGTTTTTTTAAAGTAATTATCGTCATTTCCACATTCCTATGATTCCATTCATATGAGTGTACATGAAATCCCAAGGCTTTATTACTCCTGAGATGGCTACTTAACCAACCCAATACAAAAAGTCTTTTTTTCTTATCAACATGTGAAATACTTGTGGCACATTGCATTAGACATTCAAAACCAAGTTTTTATGGAATTATCAGACACAACACATTCTAGACAGAGCTTACTATAGACCTACAAGTAGATATCTATGTATGTTTATGGTATGGAATTCATTATTACCTATTTTATTTCCTGACAGAACATGCAATTTCACACACACACACACACCACATCAGTGGCCACAGGTAGCACAAAATCTCCATCAGTCACAGGGATTAGAGAACAAATTATTGTCATGAAATTATAAATGCCTATCATATCTCACTATCAATGCAGAACTCAAAAGCATTTTTATAGTTCTATTCATGGCCTCAGTCTCAGTTCCTCCTAACTGATATCTTACATTATTTGTTCTTTGAATAGTCTACTACCCCTAGTAGACATATATTTTTAATTACTTCTATATGACCATAAAAGTACAGAACTAAGTTTCTTTTCTTATCCATGTTTATTTCATTGGGTTTTTTTCCCACTGGCATATACTTTGTTTATAGTTTTCTTTTGTTGAAAATAAATCCTTTTCTCTCAAAATATATCCTGATTAACTCCTTTAATATTCTTTCCACAAGCCTTGTAACCTGATGTGCATTTCTTCTGTTTTTCATTAGAAAATAGTCTTTAAAGAATTATAATATAAGAAAATGTTACTTATTAAGATTAAACTAAAACCAACACATAGAAACTAAATAAAATGTAGAAGAGGAAGAAAAATATCCCAAGGGAACATAAATTCATTTGTTCAAGCACACAAAATCTCATAAAAGTACCAAATTGTAATCCATAATATAAACAAAAGAAATATAGAATAAGTATAGAGAAAATCAAAGAAATGGTTATAGAAAAGTAAGATAAAATGAATATGATAAGCTTTCAAAAAATTTAAGGCCTGACATCACATTGTAAGACAAGGGACTTCCAAGAATAATGTGGAGGTTGTTTTCTGTTGGCTATCTATCGGTGTGTATGTAGCCTAGACTTAAATGTAGTTAGTTTCCCAGGGACACTCCCTTTCAAGTGGTTATCAATTACAGATTGCTTTTGACTTAGGGATGGGGCCATGTGTCTCAATATTCATTTAGATTTAGGTCCCCATTTGGTAAAGAATAATGAAAACCAATGCCACACTGTATCAGCCTTTGTGAATGCATATGTATATCAATCATTTTGAAAGAGAGGGTCTTGTTTTATAATGTCCTCAATTACCTCTAGCTTTTATAATTCTTTCTTTTCTACAGAATTACCTGAATAATGAAAGGAGGTATTAGATAGAATTAATTAATTTAGGACCAAGTGTTTTGAGGTTTCCTACTTTCTTAATAATGTCTTGCTTTGGGACTCTGTATGAGTTCCAATCTCCTGCAGGGGAAAGCTTCTCTTATGAGAAAGGCATTGAACTGTGAGTTTGGCAGATGTCATTCAGAATCATTTTAGTAGTATAGCTTTTAGAACAGTTGAATTTTGCTTTACCCTGGCCCCTTGACTATGTAGTCTTGGTTTGTTGATTATGCAAGCAATGTTATATATGAGTTCCATCTTTTGGAGTTTGCGGTCAGTAAAAGTGTGTATTGATTGGTTACCACCATAAGATTTTCTCCACCATTGAACTAGAAAACATTAGAGGAGTTGTGTCTGTGTTATTTTCATTTTTCTTTAGATGGTATGTAGAATACTGTCCTGTACTAAATGTTCTAGTACATAGGGGTGAATGTACTATATAGGTATGTGATACACATCTCCATTTCCAATGAGTTGTACAGGTGTTGTCTTCAGTAATGAGTTCTTGCTATTAGTGTGTGAAAAACAGCTCTTGATAACATAATGGGTAGTCTTGTGTTTGCTGCATGACTAATACAACTAGATGTATTATGGGATTTGAAGATTAATTTAGTTAACAAATTATGTCCAGTTAGGGTTCTGTCTCCCCCATTATTGGGTAATTTTATTGAGATCATCATCATGCATGTCTCTAATTTAGGAAGCCATTTTTTGTTTTGTTTTGTTTATATTATTATTATTATTATTATTATTATTATTATTATTTTTACATATCAATCCCAGTTCCTTCTACCTCCCATCCTCCCATGCCCCACTATGCTACTCCGATTCCTTTCCCCACCCCCACCACAGGGAGGGTGATGCCTTCCAGGAGGGATCATCTAAGACTGTGAAGTCATTCAGAGTAGAGTCTAGACCATTCCTCCAGTCCCTAGATTAAAAGAGTATCTGAGAGTAATGGGAGATGTCATTCTGCATATGTTTCTCATACTGGATAATGAATAAAGCACTGTTGGCCAATAGGAAAGGAAGATAGGAGGGACTAGGATACAAGGAGGAAAGAGGAAGTAGTAAGGAGGGGTCAAGATGGAGATACTGGGGAGACCAGATGCCTGCCCCACTCCCTGGTAAGGAGACCACATGGAAATACATAGAAATGGGTTAATAATTAAGACAGAGCTAGCTGATAAAAAACAAGTAACTGGTCAACAGAATTGTATATAATACAGAGTCTCGGTGTATTATTTGGGGCTGGTGCCATGGCAGGAAAAGACCAGGTGGCGGGCAGAAATACCTTACTCCTTACAAATGGTGCCCACGTGGCTAATGAGAATTTCCACTTAAAATTTAACAAAAGCTTAAGAAATTGTTTTAGAAACAAAGGAACAGAGACAAGCAATGTTTCTTGGTAGCAGCATTTTTCTTGGTTGGATTCTGACTTGTGAGAGACAAGCAGATTGCTTGGCTCCTTTAAGGGAGGATTCCTGACTCAGCATAAGTGGCAAAAAACCGCAAGTCTTTTAAATAACTCTGCTAACAATTTATTGGTGTGTATGAGAGATGGCAATGGCAGTAACCACATCTCCAAGCCAGCAGCATCCTTGCTGGATGGCAAGCAGACCAAGGTGGTGACCACAGCTCTCAGTGTTAGCGGTAATATAGCTGCCGCCATGTTTGATAAACCGCCGCAGAAACAACTATGTTGTTGTTTACCAGATAAAAGACTCATGGCCAGAAAAAGATAGATTTATAGTAAAGACAGATTCATATTAAGAAAAACCTCTAAAGGTTTATAGTGTGTTTTAAAAAATATGTAGGTTTGGGAGAGAATTAAAAAATGATTTTAAAAAGACAGAGAACAGCTGGGTGTGGCAGCACACGCCTTTAATCCCAGCACTTGAGAGACAGAGGCAAGCAGATTTTGTGATTTCAAAGTAAACCTGGTATGCAGAGTAAATTCCAGGACAGATAAGAGATACACAGAGAAACCCTGTCTCAATATATATATATATATATATATATATATATATATATATATATATATGTAACAGAACAATAAAAAAGCCACAGATGGAGAGAATTTGTACACCGTACAGTATTATATTGTCTTTATATTGTTTGACTGCTGAGGAAACAACAACTGTTAAAGGAAATGGTGCTGGATTAATTCAATTTATATATTTTAAAAATGCTTTGACTCCAAAATTTAAGTTCAATTTACTGGAGAAAAGGATTTCTATTTTTGTTTCCACAGAAAATGAAAAGATGTGGATTCCTTCCAGACTAATGTGGTTTGATCAAGCCAGGCCTCCTGAAGCAGAGTCGATGGTGATCCAACATTCAAAACAGCTTGGACAAAGCAGCCTTGCAGACTACAGCCAAGATTTCTTCATCTGCAAATAATAAATGTCTGACTTCTTTCTTTCCAATTTGTACCCCTTTGATATCATCTTGTTGTCTTTTTGTTGTAGCTAGAACTTCAAGGACAATATTGAAGAGATATGGTGAGAGTGAACAGCCTTGTCTTGTTCCTGATTTTAGAGTAACAGCCTCAGACTTCTCTCCATTTAGTTTGATGTTGGCTGTTGGTTTACTATATATTGCTTTTATTATGTTTAGGTATGTTCCCGTTATCCCTGATCTCTTCAAGACTTTTATTATGAAATGGTGTTGAATTTTGTTCAAGGCTTTTTCAGCATCTAGTGAGATGATCATATGATTTTTCTTTTTCAGTTTGTTTATATAGTGGATCACATTGGTAGATATTCATATCTTGAACCATCACTGCATTGCTGGGATGAAGCCTACTTGGTCTTGGTGGATAATTTCTCTGATGTGTTCTTGGATTCTATTTGCCAGTATTTTATTGAGTATTTTTGCATAAATGTTCATGAGCGATACTGGTCTGTAGTTCTCTTTCTTGGTTGTATCTTTGTGTGGTTTGGGTACCAAGGTAATGTAGGCCTGTAAAAAGAGTTTGGTAATGAACCTTCTACTTCTATTTTGTGAAGCTCTTTGAGGAGTATTGGTATTAGCTCTACTTTGAATTTCTGGTACAATTCTGCACTGAAGCCATGTGTCCCTGGGCTTTTATTGGTTGAGAGGCTTTTGATAATTGCTTCTATTTCATTAGGTGTTATGGGTCTATTTAAATTGCTTATCTGTTCTTGATTTAAATTTGGTATGTGATAGCTATCCAGAAATTTGTTCATTTCCTTTGAATTTTTGAATTTTGTGGAGCACAGGTTTTTGAAGTGTGACTTTAAGAGTCTCTGAATTTCCTCAGTGCCTGTTTTTATGTCCCCATAAAGGA